ACCTCTCTGACCTCAGCAGCCCGGTCCAATCGAAGCTGCCAATACTGGCCACAAGCCGACCAATCTCCCAAGCATCCCTGGCTACCTGGGCCCGCGCGCAGGGCCGGGCCTTTCCCCCCTGCCCAGGTGACCAGAGCATTCAGGCCCCAGGCTTTTGTCATGCAGACAAGGTGGGAGATCCCCGCCCTGAGGGATCAACACCAGCCTCTCAGGCTGGTGGAGACAGATCTCTGGAGAGGGGCACCGATGGTGGCATTTGTGCCACACTGGACACCACATGGGCACCACACCACTCCTCCCTTGCTCTCGGCCAGGGTTTGCTCACATGTGTGAGCTGTGTGCGTGGCAGGCAGCGTGCGCACGTCCTGGCTGAGCTGCCTCGTGTCTGTCATGAAACTCCAGAAACCTGCGGCCAGGCAGGAGGCTGAATGCCACGGCTCAGCTGCCCTTGTCCCCTCCAGAGCACCTCCACGGAGAGAGGCGGGGAAACGGCCCCCACTCCGCAGCAGTGCCCTGGGCAGCCAGTTCCTGCTGTCCTCAAGGGCCCGTGCCAAGGGTGGCTGCACCTACAAATGAACACATGGGTGACCACACGTGCATCTGTCTGTGGCAAATGCCAAACTTGCTAGGCGACCCGTGGCCTTAGGGGAAGAGCTGCAGCTCCCACGCTTGGCCCACGGTCAGGCCTGCATCGGAGCCCACAAAAGGGGGAGGGAAGGGCAGAGGGCCAAGGCCGCTCACTGGGCTGGGCTCGTCCCTAGGTGGAGATGTGGCTGAATCGCGTGCTGGAGAGGATGCGCGCCACGCTGCGCCATCTCATCCCCGAGGCCGTGGTGACGTACGAGGAGAAGCCGCGTGAGCAGTGGCTGTTCGACTACCCCGCGCAGGTAGGTTTGTCTGACAGGGTTTGCACAGGCAAAATGAACAGGCGCAGGCAGCCGCCTGGGCTCGAGGCACCGAGCGGCCTCAGCATGGAGGGCAGGATGCTGCCATGCTTCGCCCCGAGCCCAGGGCTCGAGGCTCTGGTCAGCAGCACACCAGGGCAGCAGGACCAGCGTGGCCCCTTGGGATCCCGGCCAGACAAGCCCAGCAAAGTCCTGGCTCCGTCTGACCTGGCTGAAGGCAGGATTGAACCCAGCACTTCCCCCCGAGGCTGGGAGCTGCTACAGGACCTGGGGAGCCGCAGGGGGACCCCAACAGCCTTTGTGCCCGCGAGCTCAGCTGCCAGCTCCCAGATGCACTGGCCCCAGGGGCCCTTCCAGCCGGGATGAAAGAGCTGGACAAGATGCCCCTCATGTGTGAGAGGCTGAGGGAGCCGGGCAGACCCGGGCTGGAGTGGACGGAGGGGTTTCCTGAGGTCCGAGTAGGCTGGGGCTGGAGCGGGGCCAGCTTTGCACCACGTGATCTTTGATTTCTCCAGTTTGCTCCTAAGAGTTGGGTTATTTAGCACCTGGGCCTGGAGGTCCCTCCGCTTTGCACTGGTCTGAGCTCTGGCTGGGCTCCTGGCTCCAGCAGGGGAGAGGCAAAGGGCCCCGAGGAGAGCAGGGCAGCCGTGTCGCAGCTTAAACTGCTGAAGTGCCTCATCCGCAGACTGGTTTTCATGTGGTCTGTCCCAGATTGCTCTAACCTGCACCCAGATCTGGTGGACGACAGAGGTCGGCATCGCCTTCTCCAGGCTGGAGGAGGGTTACGAGAACGCGATCAAAGACTACAACAAGAAGCAGGTGTGTAGGCAGGCTCCTCGGCCGGGCTCCCCCGGCAGGACCAGCGGCCCTGACCACTTGTGTCCTGCCTCAGATCAGCCAGCTCAACGCCCTGATTACGCTGCTCCTCGGCAGCCTGTCCTCGGGCGACAGGATGAAGATCATGACGATCTGCACCATTGACGTACACGCCCGAGACGTCGTGGCCAAAATGATCACGGCCAAGGTAGGACGCAGGTGGTGGCACTGCCTTGCCCCCCAGGGCCTGGAGCAGGCGCATCCGGCCCCTGCTTTGGTCTCCTACTGCAGAAGTTGAGCGCACGCAAGACGAGCACCAGGGCCAACACGCACGGGCTGCCATGTGCACGGCTTTCCTGCTGCAGCCCCATCCTCCCTCCTGCGCCCTCCCAAGCTCAGACCCATCCAGCTCTAGATTTTGATGCTCTGAATGGACTTTGCACCGCTGAGCATGCACGGACAGCCCCATCCCACGCGAGGAGGCCCAGAGGCTGCAGCAGTCGTAGAGGAAGCCCGGGAGGGCCAGGAGGCGGAGGGCCGCGGTGCCTTGGCTGACGTTTGAAGGGTCTTCCCCTTTGCTCTGCAGGTGGAGAGCTCCCAGGCCTTCACATGGCAGTCGCAGCTGCGGCACCGCTGGGACGAGGACAAGCGGCACTGCTACGCCAACATCTGTGACGCCCAGCTGCAGTATTCCTACGAGTACCTGGGCAACACGCCCCGGCTGGTCATCACTCCGCTCACAGACCGGTACGCGGCGCTCGGCCCCGATGCCAGCACCCGCGCAGGCGGGATTGGCGGCCACACTTGCTCGCAGCAGCGGGAAGCCGCGGGCTGGGGGGGCGGGCTGCCCGGGCGGCTCAGACGGGACGTCCACCTCGCCCAGGTGCTACATCACGTTGACGCAGTCCCTGCACCTGATCATGGGCGGCGCCCCAGCGGGCCCCGCCGGCACCGGGAAGACAGAGACCACCAAGGACCTGGGCCGTGCTATCGGGACCATGGTGTACGTCTTCAACTGCTCCGAGCAGATGGACTACAAGGTAGAGCAGCCGGGGGCATGCAGCGGCGGGCAAGGGGGCCAGGTCCAAGTGCCCGTTCACAGCAGACCCCGTCCCAGGGCTAGGGCTGGCAGCCCCTGCTCAGCCCATGCTTCACCTGGGTGAGAGCGCAGGGCCGGGGGTCTGCTAAAGGGGATTTCCCTGGGGCGGCGTGAGCTTCCTGGGGACGAGCTCCTACCTGCTTTCCCAAATGGCCCCGGCCTTGCGGCAGGCTCCCGTGCGGCCCATGAGCCTCTGAGCCGCTCTCCATTGCTTCTCCCCCTAGTCGTGCGGGAACATCTACAAGGGGCTGGCGCAGACGGGCGCCTGGGGCTGCTTCGACGAGTTCAACCGCATCTCGGTGGAGGTCCTGTCCGTGATTGCCGTGCAGGTGGGGCCCGTGTCCCCGGCAGGCTGCAGGGGCACGGGTGCTCGGTGCTGCTCGGCGTGTCTGCCCCGGCCCCAACCTCAGCGGAGCATCACTGAACCCAGAGCCCAAGTGCAAGAGGCTGTCAGCTCAGTGCCTGACCCCGGCCACCACTGCCTTTGAATCCTGCTAGGGAAGCGGAGCGATGGGGGTGGGCCTGGTCATTCCCTGAGAGTCGCTCCCCTGAGCAGGATCTGGCCGGCGGCAAAACAGCAGCCTCCAGTCCACACGCCCCAGGGAGCCTCGTGTCCGTGGCAAGGACTGTCGGAGTCAGCGGCACGTCCTCCCCCTGCGATGCTCGAAGCTCATGCTGCTGCGTTTGAAAGCCTCTCGCTGCTCTCGCAGGTGAAATGCGTCCAAGACGCCATCCGGGCCAAGAAGACCACGTTCAGCTTCCTCGGCGAGATGATCGCCCTCGTCCCCACCGTCGGGCTCTTCATCACCATGAACCCAGGCTACGCCGGGCGGACCGAGCTGCCCGAAAACCTGAAGGCTCTGTTCAGGTGCGCGGAGGGGCGGCTCCAGCCGGTCGCCACTCATCGGCTCTCAATGCCGACTTGCTGGACAGCTCATCTGCGCCCGCGCTGCGGCCTGGGCTGCATAACGCTCAGCACAGGCTTCATCATGGAAATCACGCGTGTGCAATTCCCGCATCTGGGAGCTGTGGCTGAGGGTCCTATGCATTGGGGGTGGGGCGTGCACAGAGGGGAGTTGTCACTGGGCTTCTTCCCCTAGCCTTTGTCTCCTCTCCCACAGGCCCTGTGCCATGGTGGTGCCCGACTTCGAGCTCATCTGTGAGATCATGCTGGTGGCAGAAGGCTTTCTCGATGCCAAACTTCTAGCAAGGAAGTTCATTACTCTCTACACCCTGTGCAAGGAGCTGCTTTCCAAACAGGTGAGTCAGCTGGGCCGGGAAGGGCTGGTCTGTGGCTAGAATTGGGCTTTCATGCCCGGCAGTCTGTGGGACCAGGCCGGACACTTGGGCTCCCACGCAGGCGTGCCCTGTCCAGGTGAGTGGGATGCGCCTGCCACTCTGCTCATCCCAGCATGACCGCTGCAGGGAAGCAAAGCGTGTGCACCTCCGGGCATCTCTGCTGAGCTAGGTTCAGCACACAGGTGCTATGGCACAGCCTCGGGGATGAGGACTGGGCTTTTCTGTTGCACGCTCAAACCAAACGTGACGTTCAGGCTTCCCACCTTTCCAGGACCATTATGACTGGGGCTTGCGGGCCATCAAGTCAGTGCTGGTTGTGGCCGGCTCCTTGAAGAGAGGGGACCCCGGCCGCGCGGAGGACCAGGTCCTCATGAGAGCTCTGCGGGACTTCAACATCCCCAAGATAGTGACGGACGACCTGCCTGTGTTCATGGGGCTTATCGGGGACCTCTTCCCAGCGCTGGACGTCCCCAGAAAGCGGGATCTCAACTTTGAGAAGGTGAGCGCGCCTGGGAGATGGGGCAGGGGCTGTCCCTCGGTCATGGGGGTCTCCACCCAGGCTCTCGGGTCTGCCCTGTTCGGGCTCTGCCCATTAAATCAGTGCTGCTGTTAATTGTCTTGCATCTGGCGTTGGAGGCTCCCCGCGCTAGATGCTACCCAGAGCACCTGCAGCCTGTGCAGCGCCCACGGGCTCAGGGCAGGGAGCGGCAGAGCACTCCAGCCAAGCCCCGCGCGCGTCGGGGGAAGCAATGAGCCCCGGGGAAAGGGACGTGCTGTGGGGTGGGGTGAGGGCGCGAGCGGCAGGTGCCACACTGGTGCCTGCAGCCACATGCGGCCCCAGTGGCGTGCAGGGCCCAGCGCTGACAGCCGCGCCCCTCCGCAGGTCATCAAGCAGTCCATCCTGGAGCTGCGGCTGCAGGCGGAGGAGAGCTTCGTGCTGAAGGTGGTGCAGCTGGAGGAGCTGCTGCAAGTGCGGCACTCAGTGTTCGTCATTGGCAACGCGGGCTGCGGCAAGTCGCAGGTGCGGCATCTCCAAGCTGCTCCCCGGGGCGGGGCTGTGGCGGGCCAGTGGGGGGCGCTCCTGCGTTGAGCCGCCCACCTCCCTGCGCCTGACCACCGTCCAGGCTCCGAGTGCCTCCCTGGGGTGCCCCACATCCGGCTGACCCCTTCCCTGGAGCACACCCGCTAGCCTGGGATCCCACCACTGCCACCATCCAAGGCTCTGGACTCACTTCTGGCTCTGCGCACCTTGGAGAACACAGGCCTGATCGTCCAATGGGTGCTAGACCCAATACAGGCACTTGGGGCACTTCCCCAAGTCAGGGGCTGATTAGGAAGCCTCCCTTAGTCCGCAGACCTACAGGGCCTCCTCGGCTTAATTTAGTCCCACCCCTCAATAAGTCTCCCACACCGGTCACAAGGAGCACTTTATTGATTACAGGGGTAGGGCAGAAACAGGGTAAAAGGTAGAGCAATATCAGAGGAATCTCAGAGGGATCCCATCGCGCAAACCAGGGTGGCTGAGGTAGCCGTTTAAACACGCATCTGAGTTACTGAAGCTAAATATCTAGTGGGATCTCGAGTAGCTTACTCACTCGCATCGTCCAGAGGTGGGTGTTGTTTCCTCTGGAGGCAGGGCACTCTTGGAGCATGCGGTGATGAGGAGAGAGCCAGGTTCAGATTCACCTGGATGACCGCATGGCTATTGGCTGCCCTTCTTCCTGGCCTGGGCCTTTATAACCCCTCACTGACCTCAGCCACCCAGTCCAATCGAAGCTGCCAATACTGGCCACAAGCCGACCAATCTACCAAGCATCCCTGGCTACCTGGGCCCGCGCGCAGGGCTGGGCTTTTCCCCGCCCTGCCCAGGTGACCAGAGCATCGCCTCCCAGGTCCCAGGCTTTTGTCATGCAGACAAGGAGGGAGATCCCCGCCCTGAGGGATTCAACACCAGCCTCTCACCCTGGCAGAGACAGATCTCTGGAGAGGGGCACCGACGGTGGCATTTCTGCCACAGGGGCCTCTGCCCCGGCCAGGCCAGGCCTGAGCCCGAGGATGCCAGCTGTGCCGTTTCCACCACGAGGCAGTGGTGGGAGACCCGGGGTGGCAGCAGACTGCCGAGCAGGGGGACAGAGCGGTGTGTGCACCGTGAGAGACCCCCTACTTGCTGGCCAGTGCACGCTATGGAGCTGGTGCTGCCCTTTGCCAGAGCTGGCACATGCCCGGGCACAGGCAAGGCAGACCGCAGGGGCACTGGATGCTGTCCAGTGGAGGTCGTGGTCTTTCCCACCTTGGGCACTGCTCAGGCATTGTCACAGCCGCAGGGCCCGTGGGCTCTGGGTTTGGCCGGAGTCCCCGTGCACGGGTCTGTCACGGGAGAGGAGCCAGCCCCGCAGTTGCCACCAGCCCGAGGGGACTGGGGCACGGCGTTGTCGGAGAAGGGGGCCCGCTGCGCCCTGGGTCGTGGTGTCTTGGACCCTGTCTCGGGGTGTGCGTCGGGTTTGTACAGAGCTGCAAGGACGCCTCGGCCCACAGGTCCTGAAGTCCCTGAACAAGACGTACCAGACCATGAAGAGGAGGCCCGTGGCCGTGGACCTGGACCCCAAAGCCGTGACCTGCGACGAGCTCTTTGGAATCATTCACCCGGCGACCAGGGAATGGAAAGACGGTAGGAAACGGACGCCTTCCCCCTCGCGCAGCGTCTCCTGCCTCCGCGGCAGCAGCCAACGGCTGGCCACGGCTCCTGCAGGTCCAGGCGCGCGCGCCGTCCCCTGCCGCTGGCCACAGAAGCGGGCAGGCCTTTTCACCAGCCCCTTCCTACACTTGGGAGGGAAGGGATTTAGCAAGTCTATTCAGAAGCCGTTGGCACTGCTCCCCCCGCGCGAGGTGAGCAGTGCTGGGACGAGCCACTCTGTGCCGGACAGGTCTGTTCTCCACCACGATGCGAGACCTGGCTAACATCACGCACAAGGGCCCCAAGTGGATCGTTCTGGATGGGGACATCGACCCCATGTGGATCGAGTCTCTGAACACCGTCATGGACGACAACAAGGTTGTATCCAGGCGCGCCGGCCGCCTGACTCCTGCTCCCGCAGCCTGGAGCAGCTGCTTCACGGCGGCGCTTCCCCCCAGGTCCTCACCTTGGCAAGCAACGAGCGCATCCCCCTGAACCCCACCATGAGACTGCTGTTCGAGATCAGCCACCTGCGGACGGCAACGCCTGCCACCGTGTCCAGGGCCGGCATCCTCTACATCAACCCCGCGGACCTGGGCTGGAACCCGTGAGCTGGCTTTCCTTTCCCCCGCGTGCCACGGTGGAGCGCGTGCCCCCAGGGGAGGCGGGGTGCGTGTGCCACCTTCACTCTGGGCTTTGCTGGTTGCCCTCCACCCCCTTTCTACACGTGTCGGGGGGTTTCAAGCCTCCCCCAGAGGCACTGGGTGCTGGCTGCAGCCCAGGCTGGGGATGGGGATGGGGACGGGCACTGGGCTGTGCCAGTGCTCCTGCTGACACCGAACCCAGGCCTTGCCCCTCCACTCAGGCTCAGACTGATGCCACACATGGGGGCCGGAAAGGATTTTGGTCAGATTGGAACAGCCTGGGGGGTTTGCCTTCCTCTGCAGCAGGGAGTCTGGCCTCCACCCGGGGTCTCTCGGGCAGATATTAACAGCCTTTCACAGGAGCAGGACGCTGGCTGCCGCGGTCTCCCTGCCTCCCTGTGGCAGGGTCAGCCAGGGTTAAGGGCAGTTTTACAAAGAGTGTAGATGATGGTTTGTCTGGGCTGGTTTGGACAGGGCTGGTCCTGCCCCCGCCAGGGCTTGGACTAGGCGTGAGCTCTGGAGGCCCCTGCCAGCCCCTCGTCTCTGCCTGCGGGGCACAGCGCGGGCCCGGCCTGGAGCCTGCAGCGCGTCCATCTGGTTTGCAGCGTGGTGAGCAGCTGGATTGAGAAGCGCACGGTGCAGTCCGAGAAAGCCAACCTGATGATCCTGTTTGATAAATACCTGCCCACGTGCCTGGAGAAGCTGAAGTTTGGGTTCAAGAAGATCACGCCAGTGCCTGAGGTTACGGTGATCCAGACCCTCCTGTATCTGCTCGAATGTCTCCTGACTCCGGCCAACGCGCCCCCGGACTCCCCCAAGGAGCTCTACGAGCTCTACTTCGTGTTTGCCTGTTTCTGGTCGTTCGGAGGAGCCATGTTCCAAGACCAGGTACGGCGGGGGGCGGCAGGGGGCAAGGGCGACCCTAACGCAGCAGCAGCAGCAGCCCCGCCGCCCGGGTCTCCGTAAACTGCATTTGCTTTGGCTCTGCAAGCTCTTGGTCTCAGAGCAGGGCCCTCGGCCGAGGTGGGGGTTGTGCTCGGGCCCCGCGCGGCAGCCGTGCTGTCCGGTCACTGTTCTGCTTGCGTGGGGGGCTCAGCTGCCGTCCACGTGCACCGTGGGCCCGGACCGGGACGTGGCCCCACACCTCCGTGGAAGCTGCTCCTGGCGAGTTGTCTTTTCTCTCTCTCCGCAGCTCGTGGACTATCGTGTGGAGTTCAGCAGATGGTGGGTGAACGAATTTAAAACCATCAAGTTTCCTTCTCAGGGGACTATTTTTGACTATTTCATTGATCCTGACACAAAGAAATTTTTGCCGTGGACTGAAAGAGTGCCCAAATTTGAACTGGATCCAGAAATCCCATTACAAGTAATGGTCTTCCTTGATTCTTTTTTCTTTTAATTGAATTACTAATTAGCTATCCTCCCCCAGCGGTGCTGTGCTAGAGGACATGACCAAGGCATGCATATTAAAACCACCATAACGACAAGAACAATGTAGCATGCGAATAGGTTATTTATTCCTGTGCACGGTTTCTTGCACCCATGAAGTTAAGCTGATGATATCTAGGGTTGCAAGACGCTTGCATACGAGCTCCGGAAAACCTTGTCCCCTGCTTGGGCAATACAGGCAACCAGTGGGGTGCCCTACGGCAGGGGCTGAGATCCAGTCCGGATGACGGGCAGAGGTCCCCTCCAGCCCTGCTTTTCTACGATGCCGTGATTCCTTTCATTGTAGGGAAGCCCTGGGCACTGACCGGCTGCCACTGTGAGGGAAGGCTTTGGTCTTCTAAAAGCCATCTTTTTTTGGAACCTTTTCTTTCCCAAATCTGTGCAGCTTTCTGGCCACAAGCCCCATTCCCACTGCAGCACCGTCAGACCAACCTCCAGGGCACGCCGTCTCGCCCATCCGGCTTCCCCCTGGCCCAAGCAGGCACTTATGTCACCACTGCGTTTCCCTGGCAGGCCTCCATGGTGCACACGACAGAGACCATCCGGATCCGCTACTTCATGGACCTGCTGATGGCGAGGAAGTGGCCCGTGATGCTGGTGGGGAATGCGGGCACGGGGAAGTCGGTCCTGATGGGGAACAAGCTGGAGGCGCTCAACACCGACGACTACCTGGTGCAGTCCGTGCCCTTCAACTTCTACACAACCTCGGCCATGCTGCAGGGTGAGGGCCGCGCTGGCAGGGCTGCGTGGGGCTCTGCGGCCTGGCCTCCATCTCACCAAGCTCTGCCTCCCCAGCGATACTCGAGAAGCCCCTGGAGAAGAAGTCGGGGAGGAACTTCGGGCCCCCGGGCACCAAGAAGCTCATCTACTTCATAGACGACATGAACATGCCGGAGGTCGACAAGTACGGCACGGTGGCGCCTCACACACTGATCAGGCAGCACATGGACCACGGGCACTGGTACTGGCCAGTCTGCATCTGTCTGTTTGTCCGGCTTGGAGCCCTTCTGTGCCCGTTACCTCGGTGTCTGGGGGCCTCCTGGCCTGACGGAGCCGTGCTTAGTCCCCGCCAGCGGGCCGGGCCCTCAGCACCGTGTGTACGTGGGGAACCAAGGCTTAGAGGAGCTAGCATCTTGCCCAGGGCTGTGCAGGGGGGGACTTGGGCCCCCGTCCCATGCCCAGGCTGACACCCATCGGTTGTTCCCCCATCCCATGGTGTCCCCAGGGGGTCCTGGGTGCACGGACTGATTGGGGCAGACGACCACGGGGGGTTCCTGCCTCCCCGGCCTGTGCACACCCTTCCCCTGCCCTCCCCCCGCCCTGCAGGTATGACCGGAACAAGCTGACCCTAAAGGACATCCACAACTGCCAGTACGTGGCCTGCATGAACCCGACTGCCGGGTCGTTCACCATCGACTCCAGGCTGCAGGTAGGTTGTGTGGAGCCAGGGCAGGGACTGGGTTGCCCCCCAGCATCCTGGCTCTGCAGAGTCCCCCTTTTCCCCCTTCTCTAAGTGCTTTGACCAAGTGCTAAACTCTACAGCACTGGCAAAAGGCTGTGGGTTTGGTCTGAGGGCAGCGCCGGCCGGCGGAGCTTGCTTCCCGGCAATGGGGCTTTCTGATGCCATCAATGGCTTTGTTTCAGCGACACTTCTGCGTGTTTGCCGTGAGCTTCCCTGGGCAGGATGCGCTCATGACCATCTACAGCACCATCCTGGCCCAGCACCTGGCCATCCAGAAGGTCTCGCCAGTGGTGCAGAAGATCCAGGCCCAGCTGGTTGCAGGAGCCTTGGGTAAGCGCCCGGGAGGGCAGCGTTTCTCAGGGCAGAGGTTGGCCCTGCACGCACAGGGCACGCTTTGCACGGGGCCCAGCTGCCTGGGTGTGCAGCTGGGGCTGGCAGGGCCTTCTGCGCCCCGCTCTGGGAGCCTCAACCTGGTTGTACGTGTGACGCTGCCGGTGCTGCAGTGACCTCCTGGCGCCCGGTGGAGGAGCGCGTAAGACAATGCCACCAGCTCCCGCTTTAGTCAGAACTCATTACACTTGAAAGCTGATCAGTCGCACTCATTAGCACCTCACGTTCCTGCAGCACAAACAATGCAGCAGTCTTAGGAATGACGAGCCGATCAAATCGTCCTTCTGCTCAGCTCTTTTCCAGAGCGTCTCCCTGCGTTGCTGCTCCCTGCTTGTGACGTTTCTGCTGGGCTGTAACACAGGCTGCGTCTCAGCTTCAGTTCCAGCTTCCTTTCCAGCGCCTCGAAGCCAAGCCAGTCATTGCCATTTGGGCTAAAAGTGCCCGAGTTTGTCCCCACCTAAGAGGATCACTTGCTAAGTCTGAGCAGAGCTGGTTCTGCTGTCTGGGGCTTCGGCACGAACAACGTTGGTGCTCAGACTGCTCAGCCTTGCAGCTGAACGTGGTGAAACTAAGGTTGCAGCTCGGGCTTGTTTGAGAACCCGGAGAGAGGAGAGAACATTAAGCTCGGTCTGGAGAAGAGCCGTGCCATCCTTTCAGGCACCTGGCTGCTACCGGGCGCCTGCTCTAACGCGCGCTGTATTTTCCCCGAAACAGCCTTACATCAGAAGGTGACCACGACCTTCCTGCCCACAGCCATCAAATTTCACTACCTGTTCAACCTCCGGGACCTCTCCAACATATTCCAGGTGGTGACCGCCTGCCTCGTCCCCCCGCCCCGTCCCTGCAGGGTCTTGCTCCGAGCGTTTTCCAGAGCCAGCCCCTCGCCCCAGCAGCACTCGAGGCCTGGCCTGATGGCCATGTGTTTGCAGGGCCTGTTGTTCTCCACTGCTGAATGCCTGAAGAACCCCATCGACCTCGTGCGGCTCTGGCTGCACGAAGCGGAGCGGGTGTACGGCGACAAGCTCATCGACGAGAAGGACCAGGAGAGCTTCGGAAGGGTCCTCGTGGCCACCTGCAAGAAGCACTTTGATGTAAGTCAGGCCCAGAGGCTTCAACCCGTGGCGGCGTGCCACCCGCACCATGCAGACACGCTTCCGGGGTGCACCTCGCACTCCGTGTCGGGGCGCATTGCCCACGGGACTCGGGGGTCTGGCAGCTATCAGCGCCAAGAGCGGCTCTCACAGCAGCTGTAGCGCTGCTCTTCCCCGAGTCGTGGGAACGAGGGCACTTTCCAAGCGCTGCTTTGGCAGCGTGGGTTATGAAACAGCCCTGAGCAGCTGCACTGGGGGCATGGCGCCGAGCTCTGCCCCCAGCCCAGCCGGGTCTGCCCCACCTCGCCCGCGCCCACGCGGGGAGTGAAGGAGGATACAGCAGCAGTAGCAATCCTGCCCATGGGAGCCCAGGACTCATCTGACACTGCGCTTTCGCAGGAGCTCGGCGAGACCCTGCTGTTCACCAAGCCCAACATCTACTGCCACTTCGCCCACGGCATCGGGGAGCCCAAGTACCTGCCTGTGTCGGGCTGGCCGTCCCTGAACAAGCTGCTGGCAGAGGCCCTGGACACCTACAATGAGGTCAACGCGGTGATGAACCTGGTGAGCACCTGCCCGCCTGCGCATCTGGGAGTGCGGCAAGCCAGGGGACCTGCCTGCCCGGCAGGAGGGAGGCGAGCCGGCGTGCGTTAGCGGGTCCGTCGCGTCCCCGCCGCGGGGCCCTGCCCTGAGCACCTGCTGCCGGCTCCCCAGGTGCTGTTCGAGGACGCCGTGTCGCACATCTGCCGGATCAGCCGGATCCTGGAGGCACCGCGGGGCAACGCGCTGCTGGTGGGGGTGGGAGGCAGCGGGAAGCAGAGCCTGTCGCGCCTCGCGGCCTACATCAGCGGCCTGGACGTCTTCCAGATCACGCTGAAGAAGGGCTACGGGATCCCGGACCTCAAGGTGAGCCACACAGAGGCGTACACCACAGCCTCAGACCTGCCACGGGCCGCCACGTCCCCGTGCCCACCCCGTGCATCGTGATGGGGAAAGTTGACACCATGCCCAGGCCCCCCGCCAGCCCTCTCGCACGGTCCCTGCATGTCAGACCCAGGCACAGGGATGGCTGTTTGCACAGCAGCGGGGTGGCATACGGTGCCAGGCGCTGCTTGCGGCGTATGGGGCCGGCGCACGTTCCCAAAGCAGCCCGGCAGCTTTATCCAGCTTCCTTCTGCACAGGGAAGCCCGAACCCCAGCCAGGGACTCTAGGGACGTGCCGTGGCCACGGTGGTGGCCTCCTGTGCTGCCCCAGCCCCCAGAAGGGCATGCATGGTGCTGGACTCACCGTCAGCTCCAGCACGGGCTGGGGGCGTGGCCTGCCCTGGCACGGCGCGTGCGCCCTCTCCCCCTCCAGCACCCGGTCCGGTGCCTTTGCATCACCAGAGGAGACGCGCGGGGCAGGAGCCAGACCCGCGCACTTCCTGCCAGAGCCAGTGACCGTCTCTGTCCTCTGCCCAGCTGGACCTGGCCTCGCAGTACATCAAGGCGGCCGTGAAGAACACGCCCACCGTCTTCCTCATGACGGACTCGCAGGTGGCGGAGGAGCCGTTCCTGGTCCTGATCAACGACTTCCTGGCGTCGGGCGAGGTGCCGGGGCTCTTCCAGGACGACGAGGTGGAGAACATCCTCAGCTCCATGCGGCCGCAGGTGAAGTTCCTGGGGCTGCTGGACACGCGGGAGAACTGCTGGAAGTTCTTCATCGACAAAGTCAGGCGGCAGCTGAAGGTAGGAGCCCCGGGCACCTGCCTGGCCCCTTCCTCTGCCGGCAGGGTGCAGGCCAGGTACCACGCTGGCACGGGCAGCCAGAGGCTCTCCTGGGCACCGCTGCGCTGTGCTCCTGGCCCAGTGGGAAAGGACCAGAGCAGGGTTACACTTGCACTCACCAGCCCCAGCAACCGCAGGGCTCACCCATGCCAGGGGGCCTGGCCACCCACGTGCACAGGCCTGGATGAGGACGGCTGTGCCCAGGGGCCACACGTCCTGCTGCAGGGCACCCCCGCCCAGCGCAGCAGGCAGGCTGGGGGCCCCTCTGCCTGGCCCAGCCCTGCCCGGAGATTGCACCCAGCGGTACCCCAAATATCAGCCCCGCCAAGTCCTCCCCCCCGAGCTGCCCTGAGCGGGCTCTGGGCCCCGTGCCCCGTGCCCTGCCGGGTGGTCTCTAATGCCGTGAATGTGCCCTGGGCCCAGATCATCCTGTGCTTCTCACCTGTGGGGTCAACTCTGCGGGTACGCGCGAGGAAGTTCCCTGCCGTGGTCAACTGCACGGCCATTGACTGGTTCCACGAGTGGCCGGAGGATGCACTGGTGTCCGTCAGCGGCCGGTTCCTGGAGGAGACGGAGGGGATTGAGGTGAGTGGCGCTGCCCGGCGGCACATGGGGAAGGGGGCACAAGCCCATCAGGGCAAGGCTGGGCCCCTCCTTTACTCACGGTGTCTCTGCGCGAGGGCCTGGCAGGGAGGAGGCGAGGGGCAGCTGGAAGGAGCCAGGGCTGTGGGCCGTGGGCCAAGGGAGGCAGGGGCTGCAGCCGTCCCGCACGTGCTGGGGACAAGAGGGGGGCTGGCAGCGAGGTGATATTGCAGAGCACGGCCCGGGGCAGACCGGAGCGAGGCCGGGGGCACGCGCATGGGCTGTTCGCGGCTGCCACGGCAGGGGCATGTCCCTACCTTCCCTTCGTCTCTGTGGCTGTGAGCGTCGCCTTGCCCTTGTGCCAGGGCAGCCTCCTCCATGGCGCCCAGGTGAGAGCCCGCGCTCAGCGACAGGGCGGCCGCCGGCCTGTGGTTCCTCACACAGCCAGACGTCAAGGTCTCCATCAGCCAGTTCATGTCCTTCGTGCATGAGAGCGTGAACGAGATGTCCAAGGTGTACCTGGCCACGGAGCGACGCTACAATTACACCACGCCCAAAACCTTCCTGGAGCAGATCAAGCTCTACCAGAACCTGCTTGCCAAGAAGCGGAGGGAGCTCATTGCCAAGATCGAAAGGCTGGAGAACGGCCTGATGAAGCTGCAGAGCACGGCCTCGCAGGTGAGCTGCCGGCCTCTCCCCCGGACGCGGGGTCTGGCCGAGCCAGAGGCGTGGGCAGGACTCGGGTGCGCGCGGTTGGCAGACACCGAGGTCGGGGGGCACGCAGGTCCAAGCCACCCCTGCCCCACAGCTCTGCGCTGACTCTCATGGAAATGCTCCCGGGTGCCAGCCCCGGGGTGAGCAGTGGAGCGGTCGCGTGTGCTGGGCAGACCCAGGGGACCCTGTTCTAGCATCGCAGGGAGTAACGCCAGCCCGGTCCTGGGCACACAGTCCTCGTGCAAGGGGAGGGCAGCAGGAGCCCCCCCCAACTGGGGGTCCCCTCCTCCTCCTCTATCACGTGCCTCGAGCCCTTGAGGCTCCCGGCAGCTGCTCGCGCCATGCCTGGGCCTGGCCCCAACGGGCTTCTGCCCCTTCTCCCGGGCACTGTGCAGGTTGATGACCTCAAGGCCAAGCTGGCGGTGCAGGAGCTGGAGCTGAAGCACAAGAACGAGGACGCCGACAAGCTGATCCAGGTGGTGGGCGTCGAGACGGACAAGGTGAGCCGGGAGAAGATGATCGCCGACGAGGAGGAGCTGAAGGTCCAGGTCATCAACACGGTACGTGCTTGCCAGGCCCCTCTCACGCCACGTGCCTCCTGCCAGTGGCAGCAGCAAGGTGGGAGGCCAGCCAGGGCAGCCAGCCCGGGTCGGGGTGAAAGAGAGCCTGGGCAGCCATCTCCAGCCCCCCCGTCCCAAGCCAGCTCCTGGAGGGGCAGAGGAGCAGGGCCTGGGGCTGTGGCTGAGCCCCGTGCACAGCAAGCTGCCTGTGTGCTCGGGGACAGGGCGTCTGCGGGGCCTGCTGCCCGCACCGTACGTATGCCCTGGGGCACCCATGGGCCCTCCCGAGGACAGCGAGCACCAGGCAGGTGCCTAGTAGGAGGCAGGTCCTGCGCCGGAGGGCATGCGTTGTGGTGCAGTGGGAGGCAGGGTGAGGGGAGGCACGAGCCGGGCTGCAGGCACGTGCTTTACCTCGGCCAGAACGTGGCAGAGAAGCAGAGAGCCTGCGAGACCGACCTGGCGAAGGCAGAGCCTGCTCTGATCGCGGCGCAAGAAGCCCTCGACACACTGAACAAGGTAACGTGCGCGTCTGAGCTCCCCGGCGGTCCCGCGGCTGGGACGGAGGGAGCTGGGTCCCCAGCCCGTGTTGGCGGCCACAGCCGATCACCCGCCGTGATCCCGGCAGAACAACCTGACGGAGCTGAAGTCCTTCGGGTCACCCCCCGAGGCCGTGGTGAACGTGACGGCCGCCGTGATGATCCTGACTGCACCGGGGGGCCGCATCCCCAAGGACAAGAGCTGGAAGGCGGCGAAGATCATGATGGGGAAAGTCGACTCCTTCATCGACACCTTGAAGAAGTTCGACAAGGAGCACATCCCGGAGCCCTGCCTCAAAGCCTTCAGGTACAGGGGGCGGGCAGGGCCCAGCCTGGCTTCTCGGAGGGGACGGCTCCCCAAGGCCGGCTCTGCCCAGGGCTGGGCCTGCTGTGCTGCAGCATGGGCACGTGTCCCCGGCTCCTGGTGTCCCTCCGCGGGCGCCCAGGCGGGATGGCACTGACCGCAGCCCCCCGTGCCTCGGTGGGGCCAGCAGCCGGGCAGTAGCATGGCGAGGGACTTGGTTGGGCAGTGCTGCTGCGGGACCAGGCTCCAAGTCACCATGTGTCTGGCCCGCACGGTGCTGGAGCAAGGGATCACCCCCGGGCACATCCCCTGTGCAGCCCTCTGCCCTGGGGCTTGAGGGGCCGGGAGCAGCACCTCTTGGCGCTGTGCAGCCGCCCACAGCTGCACCCCGCTCGGCGCCCCCCGCCCCGGGGTGTCTCCCAGTATCCTGTGGTCCTTGGTCACAAGCGTGTGGGCAGCAGCCTCCAGACTGGGGCAGGGCTGGACCCGGACGTCCCGTTTCCAGACCGCTTGTGCTCCTGAGCAGAGGGAAAAGGTAGAAAGTGACAGGAGGTTTTACAAATGCATTGCAGCTTTGGAAGAGGCCGTGGGTTCAAAGCGTCCAGGCCGGCCTGCTTGGACCCCAGGGGGTCCAGCGGGAGCCGGGTGCACCTGCGCACCAAGTCCAGGGGCCATTCTGCAAAACCAGGCCCATAAAACAGAGCCACCCAAAACTGGCCCCGGCTTTTTAATAGCTGGCTGCACGGGGCTCGCCGTAGTCGCTGATGGTTGTCCTGGTCTTCATCCTCCCTAGGCCCTACCAGTCGGATCCCACCTTCGACCCCGAGTTCATCATGTCCAAGTCGACGGCGGCCGCGGGGCTGTGCTCCTGGTGCCTTAACATCGTGCGCTTCTACGAGGTGTACTGCGACGTGGCGCCCAAGCGGCAGGCTCTGGAGGAGGCGAATGCGGAGCTGGCCGAGGCACAGGAGAAGCTGAGCCGCATTAAAAACAAAATCGCGGTAAGCACATGGCATCTCTGCCCTCCCTGAGCCCGAGCGTGCCAGCTGTGCTGGGACCCTGCCCACGGCGCCGCCTGCCACGGGGCACAGAGGGAGAGCGCTGAGGCGCAGGAGGGGTTGGCGTGAGGGGCTGGCTCTGGCACACCTTGGCGTCACCGGGACATGGAGGCTTCCGGGTGCACCCACGAGGAACGGGTGACTGCAGACCTGTTGTTTCCCAAAGGACCTAAACGCCAACCTGGCAACCCTGACGGCCGAATTTGAAAAGGCGACAGCCGAAAAAATCAAGTGCCAGCAGGAGGCCGACACCACGAACAGAGTCATCATGTTAGCAAACAGGTATGGAGCCGTGGCTCCAGGCGCAGGTCAGGGCTGGCGACGAGTGCAGTCTGGCCCCTGCAGCTACCCGAGCTGGGGGCCCTGGGGCACTTTCCCTGGGGCGACGTGCTCTGCCGTGACACATCCCTGGGGTTGGCAACCTCTCGCCTGTCCCTGGCCCGAGTGCGCTGGTCAGCAGTCGCTCCAACCACGCCGGCCTTTGCCCCCATGATGATCCGTCACTGTCTGTGCAGAGCCTCCTTCTCCCCGAGGCGCTGCCTGCACCGCCTGCTTGGCCGGGGGGCAGAGCACCTCCGGCCCTGGGCTCTGTGGGGCACCTGGGTCCAGCCGCCTCCGTGCCGGTCAGCCCCCACCGGGGCTCCCTACCCACTGGGCTGGGCTGGGCAGTGTTCGGGGGGCTGCTGTGCCTCTCCCTGGCAGGGCTGCCCCACTGCCCGTGGCCAGGGGTGAGGGCAAGGCAGGAAGCAGTGGCGGCCCTCAGCCCGGGTGCCTCTAGCCTTGGCTTTGGTTCCCAACGTTTTGGTCACGAAGGCAGGGCTGCCCCCGAGGTGGTGGGGCTGGCACACCCTGCCTTTTCCGAGACATGCCCTTGCCCCTTCCCTGGGCACTGGGGCCGACCCCGCACCAGGCTCCATGCTCACGAGGGCCCGGGGTGCTCTCCTGCAGGCTGGTCCGGGGCCTGGCCTCCGAGAACGTGCGCTGGGCTGAATCGGTGCAGACCTTCCAGGAGCAGGGCAAGACGCTGTGCGGGGACGTGCTGCTCATCTCCGCCTTCGTGTCCTACGTGGGCTACTTCACCAAGAAGTACCGGGCCGAACTGGTCGACCGGCACTGGGTCCCCTACTTGAACAAGCTCAAGGTAAAGGGCACAGCCACGACCCAGGCTGCGCCTCAGGCTCGCGTGGCTCCGTGGCCAGGGGCCAGCCGGGCTGCAGAGAGCGCCGTGTGCTCCACAGGTGCCCATCCCCGTCACGCCGGAGCTGGATCCCCTGAGCCTCCTGACGGACGACGCGGACGTGGCGACGTGGAACAACCAGGGGCTGCCCAGCGACCGCATGTCCACGGAGAATGCCACCATCCTGTGCAGCACCGAGCGCTGGCCCCTCATCGTGGACGCCCAGCTGCAGGGGATCAAGTGGATTAAGAACAAGTACGGGCAGGACCTGAAGGCGATCCGGCTGGGCCAGCGAAGGTGGGTTTGGCCTTCTGGTGCCTCTTCCCAGGGCCCGGGCGATGCTTTCAGCCACGATGGGCCAGGCCAGGCTGCGGGTGAAGGTACAAAACCAAGTCCCTGCCCTGCCCTGCCCTGCCCTCCTGGACGGCTGCAGAGCCCGGAGCCCGGTCCCTGCTCCACTGGGGTTCGTGCAGGGCTGGGGAAGGGGAAGGCTCCCCTGGGCCTGGCCAGGCTGCAGGAGCTGTTCTTGCAGCCGGGAGGCTCCCACCAGGCAGCATCGGACCGTCGCTGTGCCGCGAGCCCGGAGCCTCGGGGAGCTCGGTGTGCACGGTGTGGGAACGCTGACTACACAGTCCGGATGACTACACGGTCCAGTGGGTGGCGAATTGGATGGAGGGTCGCACCCAGAGAGTCGTGGTGGATGGGTCGGCTTCGACCTGGAAGGGTGTGGGCAGTGGGGTCCCGCAGGGCTCGGTCCTTGGACCGATACTTTTCAACGTCTTCATCAGCGACTTGGACAAGGGAGTGAAGGTGTACTCTGTCCAAGTTTGCGGATGACACAAAGCTATGGGGAGAAGTGGACACGCCGGAGGGCAGGGAACAGCTGCAAGCAGACCTGGACAGGTTGGACAAGTGGGCAGAAAACAACAGAATGCAGTTCAACAAGGAGAAATGCAAAGTGCTGCACCTAGGGAGGAAAAATGTCCAGCACACCTACAGCCTAGGGAATGACCTGCTGGGTGGCACGGAAGTGGAGAGGGATCTCGGAGTCCTAGTGGACTCCAAGATGAACATGAGTCGGCAGTGTGACGAAGCCATCAGAAAAGCCAATGGCACGTTAGCGTGCATCAGCAGATGCATGACGAATAGATCCAAGGAGGTGATACTTCCCCTCTATCGGGCGCTGGTCAGACCACAGTTGGAGTACTGCGTGCAATTCTGGGCACCGCACTTCAAGAGGGATGCAGATAACCTGGAGAGGGTCCAGAGAAGGGCCACTCGTATGGTTAAGGGCCTACAGACCAAGCCCTACAAGGAGAGGCTAGAGAAACTGGATCTATTCAGCCTCCGCAAGAGAAGGTTGAGAGGCGACCTCGTGGCTGCCTATAAGTTCATCACGGGGGCACAGAAGGGAATTGGTGAGTATTTATTCACCAAGGCGCCCCCGGGGGTTACAAGAAATAATGGCCACAAGCTAGCAGAGAACAGATTTAGATTGGTTTGGATGATTATCTAGCTGGGGTCAGCTAGACCCAGCCCTCTTTCCTGCCTATGCAGGGGTCAGACTCGATGATCTATTGAGATCCCCTCTGACCCAAGCATCTATGAAATGAAACCTGCGTCTGGTGGACGGGGGCCCTGGGCCCCGGTATGAAATGAAACCTGCGTCTGGTGGACGGGGCCCCTGGCCCCAGGTTCGGCGGCTCTGCCCGCCAGCTGCTGCTGCAGCCAGAACTTGGGATCCGGGGCCCATGTGTCCGGGATGCAAGACGCTTGGGGCTCTTGTCAGATCCTGAGCCAGGAAAGACCTGCCTGGATCAAGCAGGTGCTTTGAGCCCTCCTGGGCACCCGCCGGGGTGGAGGAGACCTGGGATCGGGCTGCCTGGGCCAGAGCAAGAGTGGGGGTCTGCCCCAGGCTGTGCAGCAGGGCCCACGGCAGCTTCCTCTCCCCTTCCCTCCCCTCCGGCACTGCAGCTACCTGGACATTATCGAGCAGGCGGTCTCCGAGGGCCACACGCTGCTCATCGAGAACATCGGCGAGACGGTGGAGCCCGTGCTGGACCCGCTGCTGGGCAGGAACACCATCAAGAAGGGGAAGTACGTCGCCCCTTCCCAGCCAGGCCCCGAGGCGATTCCCTCGCCCGCCTGGCCTTGTTTTCAGGTCCGTGGAGCTGAGCTCCGTTCATGCCTCTGGAGACCAAGGCCTTCCGGTTCGGGTGCGGGGATGAGGGAGAAATGCCAGGGCTCCTCTGCTCCAGGCTGAATGGCAGGGGCAGGAGTGCATGTCTGGGCTCGCAGCCACCCTGAGCTGCGTGGCCCGTCGTGGAGGGGATCCCCACGTGTCACAGGAGCCTTTGGGGAAGAGCCGCTGGATGGTGTCCAGGGCCGTGGCAGGGGCGATCCGTGCTCACAGAGACGCCCATGTCCATGCATCAGGTACATCAAGATCGGCGACAAGGAGGTGGAGTATCACCCGCACTTCCGCCTCATCCTGCACACCAAGTACTTCAACCCCCACTACAAGCCCGAGATGCAGGCGCAGTGCACGCTCATCAACTTCCTGGTGACGCGGGACGGGCTGGAGGACCAGCTGCTGGCTGCCGTGGTGGCCAAGGAGCGCCCAGACCTGGAGGAGCTGAAGGTACCGAGGCAGCTGCCGGAGGCCGTCCGGGGCAGGGGCTGCAGTGGGGGCCCCGGGGCTCCCCAACACACTGCGGCCGCGTGCAGCGAATGGCCGGAGTCCTGGGTCAGGCTTGCCATGCTCCAGGTTGATGGTCTGGCCCCAAGCCCTGGTGCGGGCTGCAGGGACAGCCATCAAGAGCTGGTCCGCGTGGTCAGCACCTCTCCATTCACCTGCCTCCCCCCATCACCGTGGGAGCAGGCTGGGCAGCCCAGCCTAGACAGCCCACGCCAGCGCAAGGAGCAGCCGCTCGTGCCGCCAGGGCACCTCTCCACAGCTCTTCCCATGGGCTCCTGCGGCACGTGGCCGTGCAGGTCCCCAGGGATCCCCTCCGTGACGGGCCACGAGCCCAGAGCGCTGCCTCCCGGCCTCCCTGACTCCGACAAACCGCTGCGGCCGACCGTGACCCTTGGCACTGATCACGGGGCCAGCTAACCGGCTCGTGTGCATCGCGGCCGCAGGCTAATCTCACCAAGAGCCAGAACGAGTTCAAGATCTTCCTGAAAGAGCTGGAGGACTCCCTGCTGGCCCGGCTCTCCGCCGCCTCGGGGAACTTCCTGGGGGACACGGCGCTGGTGGAGAACCTCGAGACCACCAAGCGCACGGCCATGGAAATCGAGGAGAAGGTAGGAGCGCGACCCTGGTGCCCCCCTTGCCAGGGCCCTGCCGGGGGCTCTTTCCCCCAGGCAGGGGCCATCCAGGCCACGTGCAGGTGGGTTGCGGCCAGCGGGTCTGCTCTGTGCCCAGGTGAGGGAAGCCAAGGTGACGGAAGTCCGAATTAACGAAGCAAGAGAGAGCTACCGGCCGGCTGCGGAGCGGGCGTCTCTGCTCTACTTCATCCTCAACGACCTCAACAAGATCAACCCCATCTACCAGTTCTCGCTGAAGGTGACTGCCGGCGCCCACACCCAGCCGCTCGCGGTGCGTGGAGCCCTGGCCGCCACGGCTGCGGGCGGCGCAGCACTCGGGAGCGCGGCGCTGAGCCAGCCCCTGCCTCTGCTCAGGCGTTCAACGTGGTGTTTGAGAAAGCCATCCAGCGCACGACGCCCGCCGAGGAGGTGAAGCAGCGGGTGGCCAACCTGACGGACGAGATCACCTACTCGGTCTTCATGTACACGGCGCGCGGGCTCTTCGAGAGGGACAAGCTCATCTTCCTGGCACAAGTGGCATTTCAGGTAGCGGGGCCGGGCCGGGGCTGTCTCCTCGTGCCCACACCTGTTGTGCTTGCGGAGCGGCTCTCTCCCGGCCTCTGCACCTCAGCTCTCTGGCGGAGTGTGTGGTGCCAGTTCCCGCTGGCTCCTGGCCCAAGGGACACCCAGGCCCATGCCCAAGGGCGCAGCACCGACCACCGGGTCTCACAGGGGATCCTGCCGGGGAGGCCCTGGGCACCCTCACGCCAGCAGCAAAGCTGTGCCAGAGATGACGTTGGCCAGTGTGAGCAAGCCCAGCCGTGGGGCCCTGTGCCCCGCTCTCAGCTCCTCCGTGCAGCCGACCTGGGGGTCCCGCCTGCCCAGTGCTCTCCCCTCGCTCCTGGTGCTGCCAGTCCTGGTTTCATAGATTTCATAGACATCAGGGCTGGAAGGGACCTCGGAAGATCATCGAGTCCAGCCCCCTGCCCAAAGGGCAGGAAGTCACCTGGGGTCATAGGATCCCAGCAAGATAAGCATCCAGTTTCATCTTGAAGGTGTTCAATGAAGGCGCTTGAACCACCTCCGGTGGCAGGCTGTTCCAGACCTTGGGGGCTTGGACAGTAAAGAAGTTCTTCCTTATGTCCAGCCTGAAACGATCTTGAAGTAGTTTGTGACCATTCGACCTCGTCATCCCTTGGGGCGCTCTGGTGAACAGACATTCCCCCAGATGCTGGTGGTCACCCCTGGTAGACTTGTAGGTGGCCATCAGATCACCCCTGAGCCTGCGCTTTTCCAGGCTAAAGAGCCCCAGGGCTCTCAGCCTGTCATCGTAGGGTCTGCTTCCCTGACCTCTGAGCATGCGCGTGGCTCTTCTCTGGACTCTCTCAAGCTTCTCCACATCCTTTTTGAATTGTGGAGCCCAAAACTGGACGCAGCACTCCAGCTGCGGCCTCGCTAGGGCTGAGTACAAGGGGAGAATGACGTCCCGGGATTTGCTTGAGAAGCATCTATGGATGCAAGCCAGCGTTTTGGTCGCTTTACTAGCTGCAGCATCGCTGTGCTGTGGTTTAACGCTCACCCCCTGAGCCAGGCTGCGCCCAGGCTGGCAGCAAAGGCCCAGGCGGGCTCCGGACAGGGCAGCCCCCGTTTCCTCCAGGAGCCCACACGCGCCCCTGTTGCAAGGCACATTTTCCCAGCACAGACGAGTGCAGGGGCCAGGGCCACGGGTTGTGCCACGCCAGCGGTGCAGCTTCGCAGCAAGGGGTTATGTAACCGGGTGCCGGGCACTGCTGTGGTCTCCCCAGGTCTTGCTGATGAAGAAAGAAGTGAACCCGGTTGAACTGGACTTCCTCTTGCGCTTCCCCTTCAAAGCCAGCGTGGCCTCCCCCGTGGATTTCTTACAGTCTCAAGGCTGGGGAGGAATTAAGGTTTGTTGGCGGAGCAGGAAATGCCGAGGCCCCTCTCGGCAGACCAGCCTGAGGCCGGCCGGGAGGGGAACTCGGCCCGTCGGCCCCTGCTATCTCGTGAGGCCGGTGCCTCACAGCCGGGCCAAGCGGGGAGAGTCAGGCGCTGCAGCAGGGCGCTGGGGACGCTCACCGGTTCTGGCTGGGAGCTCTGGGTGACTGCCATGCCCGCGGGCCACGAGCCGAGCAGCGGGGCTGGGGTGCTGCTGCAGCCAGTGCCCAGCTGTTCCCCGAAGCAATGGGAGGACGGCAGAGAGCTCAGCGCTGGGGAGGAAGGATGCCCTGGGTCAGGCCGGCCTAGAGCTGAGGATGCGGGTGTTGAAATGGGCCAGGGCAGACCCAGAGGAGCCCTTGCTCTGTGGCAATGTCGGTGTCTAAATGGACACTGTTGTTAGCTCTGGGCACGAGCAGGATGCAGAGCCGGCCGTACCCAGGGCCTCTGCACTGCCCCGCACCTCCTGCGGCCCCGCGCGTGTGCCCAGTCACTCCTGGAGCACCGGAGACGCCTGCCCTGTGCATGCCCCAAGGGTGAACACGGTCCCACCGTGCTCCTCTCGCTGCTCTTGCCATCACATGTGCAACTGCTGCCGTGCACTGGAAATCACACCCTCCTGCATGTTTCAGGGGCACTAAAATCTCTGCCCCTAGGATGCCCGCACCAGGGCTTACTCAGCCACCTCCTACCCCAAGCATCTCGGCGGACAGAAACCTCCTGAGTATCTGGTCATTTGGTCAAATACTTGGGGACTGTGGTGCCAGCTCGGGGCCCAGCCGGGCCCTGGCAGGAGGCACTGGGGTGCATGCATGGGCCGGGATGTAGTGCGGCTCGTAAGGAGCCCTCAGCGCCTGAGCTTCTGCTCAGTGACACCTGCAAGGGCCTGTCCCCACCCCACAGCCCGCCAGCCCCAAGCCCTGGCGCCGGCATTGCCCACCTGCCCCCTGCCCGCAGGTCCTCTCCGACATGGATGCGTTCAAGAACTTGGACAGTGACATCGAGGGCTCGGCCAAGCGCTGGAAGAAGTTTGTGGAGTCGGAGGCCCCGGAGAAGGAGGTCTTCCCCAAGGAGTGGAAGAACAAGACGGCCCTGCAGAAGCTGTGCATGATGAGGTGCATGCGGCCCGACAGGATGACCTACGCTGTCAGGTGCGCCCGCGGGGGCCGCGTGGCCGGGGCTGCCCCCCCAGGCGGTGGCTCCAGGTGAACTGTGGGGGCTTCCACGGCGGAGCCCAAGCGGGTGCTGCGCAGAGCTCACCCGCGGCGGCTCCTCGGCACAGGAACTTTGTGGAGGAGAAGATGGGGAGCAAGTTTGTGGAAGGCCGGAGCGTGGAGTTCTCCAAGTCCTACGAGGAGAGCAGCCCGTCCACCGCCATCTTCTTCATCCTCTCCCCCGGCGTTGACCCCCTGAAAGATGTGGAGGCCCTGGGTAAGCCGGCACCCCGGGCAGCGCCAGGGCCGTCCGCAGCGCGGTTCCCACTCCCGGCAGCCCCAGCAGCCCCGGTGCATGTCTCCCCCAGGCAAGAAGCTGGGCTTCACCATCGACAACGAGAAGCTGCACAACGTGTCGCTGGGGCAGGGCCAGGAGGTCGTGGCCGAAAACGCGCTGGACGTGGCGGCCGTGCAGGGCCACTGGGTCATTCTGCAGGTGAGTGCAGCGCCGAGCGCCCCCGAGATCCTGCCCGACGGCCTTCGGCCATGGCGGCTACCCCGGGGGGTCCCAAATCCTGCCCCCTCCCCATGCACCAGAACAAGCTGACACTGGGCACAGAGTCCAGCCTGCAGCACAGCCAGCTCACGGTGGCTTGTCCCTGTGTCCTGGGGGGTGGCACTGCTTCCCCTTCCTGCAGGCTGGGAGCAGGCGTGTGGCAAGCCCTGCAGGGCCGCAGCCACCAGCAAGGGCCCCCCCCACCCCTTCCCCGCATGGTGACTCGCTCGTGTGTCACACGACGTGGGAGCAAGGCAGGACTCAATGCCTTTGCAGAACATCCACCTGGTGGCCAAGTGGCTGGGCACGCTGGACAAGAAGGTGGAGCGGTACAGCCAGGGCAGCCACGCCGACTACCGCGTGTTCATGAGCGCCGAGCCGGCCCCCAGCCCCGACGCGCACATCATCCCGCAGGGGCTCCTGGAGAACGCCATCAAGATCACCAACGAGCCACCCACGGGCATGTACGCCAACCTGCACAAGGCGCTGGACCTCTTCACGCAGGTACCTGGCATGCTGCCAGCCCGTTTGCGGCCGCTGCTGCACACGCAGCAATGCCCGGAAAGGAGGGGTGCCCGCGACAGCGCAGCATCCCAGCAGCGCCCTCCTCTTGGCCTGATACAAGCGTGCATGTGCACGTGTGTGTGCGTGTGCATGTGCACGGACTTACGAGTGCCACTGCTGGTTCCTGAGAGCAGCTGAAATGGAGAAATCCCTCCCAGCTGCTGAGCTGCCGCTTGGCAGGACGCTGCAGGGCTCCTGCCGTCCAGGCCCTTGAGGAGACGGCACCGGGGCCGCCGTGCAAGTCCCGGGCAAGTCGCCACAGTTGGGCAAGTGGTCCATGCTCGTGAGGTGCCTCCACCCCTTTGAGGACATGGCCCGTTGCCATCCATAACCAAGCTTCCCCAGAGCCCAGCCTGGCGGGGGCGGGGGTGTCTGTTTGGGCAGGGGTGGAGGAGGCTTTTGTGGGTTTTGCCACCCTGCTGCCTGGTTCCCCATCCAGCGACGCTGCATGGCACAGGCTCAGCCCTGACACGGGGGCAGTGGGGGCTGGTTTGTGCGTTTCAGGGCCTGGCACAAAAGGTGCTGGGGGGCTGCGCACGGCTCTGCTGCAGCGTGAGAGCCGCTGGCCCCCAGACTCCCAACGCTCCCCAAGGTCTCGGGCAGTGCTGGGTTCCCAGGTGATCCCTCCGCTGCCTGCCAGCTTGGGGCTGCAGCCTCTGTGCTGCCATCGGACCAGGCACGGCCCAGCAGAGCTACGAGCTTTGCTGCAGGCACGCGCTGGATCCGAGCCCGGCTCCGGCTCCCCCGCAGCGCGGTGCAGCTCTAGTCAGACATGTGCCTGCGGCAGCACCGTCTCCACTCTCCTGTGCTCTAGGACACGTTGGAGATGTGCAGCCGGGAGATCGAGTTCAAGTGCATCCTGTTTGCCCTCTGTTACTTCCACGCGGTGGTAGCAGAAAGGCGTAAATTCGGCGCTCAGGGCTGGAATCGGTCTTACCCCTTCAACAATGGAGACCTGACCATATCCATCAACGTGCTCTACAACTACCTGGAGGCCAACGCCAAGGTGAGGCACTAACAGGGCAGCTGAGTGTCAGCCCACGGCCAGGCAGCAGCACCGCCCCATGGGCACGGCTGCAGGGACCTCTGGGCCAGCGTCTGGAGCTCTCCCGGGGGGAAGGAGGGCACAGGCCCACGGCTGATGGGGGTACACCCTCAGCAAGGGATGGGGCCCCGTGCCCAACCTGGGGAGCAGGGTCGGGGGTGCCCTGCAGGAGAGAGTCGTTCCATGGGGAAGGGGCTGGCTCCCCCCAGCCCAGGGCCCTGCCTGGCTCCCCCCGCGGCCTGTCTAGCAGCGTGACCATTTGTGTGCAAGGCAAAGCCCCCCAGAAGCAAGCACGCGTGGTGCCAGGGCAGGCAGGACCCAGTCCCTGCCCCTGCCCTGTGGAAAAGGCCGTTGCCACTGCTGCTGCTGCTTCTCGTGTCTCCGCACCGCATTTGTCCGTTTTGTTACACACTCACCCTTGTCCGTTGTACTTGGCGAGGGCTCCCGTTGTCCGTGTGCCTTCGAGCAGCCACGTTGCAGTAGGTGAGGCCCCGCGCCGTGGTCACAGGTGGTTGAACCAATGCATAGCCCACTTCTCCACAACGTCCTTGGAGCGTCCGACTCTGCTGCGTAGGAGGTTGAGACACCCCACCCCATGCCACGGTTCATCAGCCCCTGGCGCTAAGGACGCAGCTGCTGCAACAGCCACTTTTGTATTGTCTTCAGCCTCTCGCTGCACATCTGTAGCTGCGCCTCCTTGGGTCTGGCACGGAGAGGTTGGTGCTGGCCAGGAAGCGCCGCGTGACTTCAGCTGGTTTTGTGCCGCGGGGCGGCGGTACAGCGGGCGTCTCACAACTCCAGTTCGTCTCAGTCGTTCTGTCCTGGCCGCGGCTCTGTTGGTCCGAGCACTCGCCCTGGCAGTTGTCTCCGTGACGTGGTCTTTGATGGGGGTGCATTCGAGGGTGACACCAAAGTCACCGGGTTTCGGCAGTGGGGTCCCGGACCCTGTCGTGTTGAGCCGGCGGTTGGCCTCGTGGGTTTTGAGGTGGAAGGGGCGCACTTGTGTTTTTTTCGCTGGGCTGGCACCTAATTTAGTTTTCAGGGTAGTATGAAGTTATGCCAATGAGTGCCTCGCTTAGGGGCTTGTCAGCATGGCCAAAGCCAGCGTTTTGGGCTGTTATGCACAAGTGGGCTGCATACATGGAGCATTTGGTATCCAAATGGACTGGCTGGTGATTCGCGTAGGTGTTATATCGCAGCAGTGCAAGCACGCTTCCTTGAGGGAGGAAGTGTCGCCTCCGTCTGCTTCGGTTCCCATCCAGCTTGACAAACACCGTCTGTGTCCGAGCAGCTTCGTACCAGCTGTGTACAGTGCAGATCTTCCGTCACTCCCAGGGGCTGGCGGAGGAGTTGCCGGTGGCTAACTGTGCCATGGGTGGCTGTTAGGTCGGCAAACACAGCTCCAGTGATTCGGCCTCTTTCAAAGCTGGCTACAATATGTGGAGTCAGACGGAGCAGCTGCCCGTGGTTGATTTGCACGGTGAAAGCTGCCCTGTTTGGGGAGTAGGTGCTTATCCACAGGTGGGACGAGCCGTTCAGCATCACTCCGGCGTACAATTTGTGTGTGCAGCACAGCAGGGGGATGGGGCTGACGCTCAAGGGTCTGTCCCTGGATTTAGCAGTGCCCCCCCGAGCGTGTTTCAGTATCCTTGGACATTTGTAACTGGCTGCACATGCATTGCGTAGGGGGTCCCAAGTGCCTGATTTGTTCGGTAAATATGTCCACAAGGCCGGCTGCGTCCCCGGTCTTCAGTGCATTCACACCAGCATTCAGCTGCGTCCTGAAGAAGGGGCTGGTGGAGACAGGGGCGAGGCGCGATGCCAGGCAGGAGGGGCCCAGGCCTCGTGCCTGCTCGGGGGGAGCAGGCGGCTGCGCAGAGCCGTCCCAGAGCCACGCCAGTCGTGCACACCGCGGGTTTGTGCCTAGGTGCCCTGGGACGACCTGCGCTACCTCTTTGGGGAGATCATGTACGGGGGGCACATCACGGACGACTGGGACCGGCGGCTGTGCCGCACCTACCTGCAGGAGTACGTCCGCGTGGAGATGCTGGAGGGAGACATGCTCTTGGCGCCCAGCTTCTTCATCCCTCCCAACCTGGACTACAAGGTGAGGCCGGCGCCCTTGCCTGGGGCCAGGGGAGGAGGTGGGGCCTGGGTGGCAGGGAGGGGAGGCGGGCAAGCACCAGCCCCTTCCCTGGGCTAGGGCTGGGACGCGGGCCGGGGCAGCGCGCTGAGCACCTGTGCCCGGCGCTGCCCCAGGGCTACCACGAGTACGTGGACGAGAGCCTGCCGCCCGAGAGCCCCTACCTGTACGGCCTGCACCCCAACGCCGAGATCGGCTTCCTCACCGTCACCTCGGAGAAGCTCTTCCGCACCGTGCTGGAGATGCAGCCCAAGGAGTCAGAGGCGGGGGCTGGCACTGGCGTGTCTCGCGAAGAGAAGGCAGGCCACGTTTTGGTGCCCCCACCCCTCAAGCAAGTCTGCCAAATAGAGGCAAATGCAGGGATGAAGCTTGGCACAGAAGCCCCCACCC